CTGTACTAAAAAAAAAAAAAAAAAAAATGCAAATAGTACAATCCAACTAACCATGCAATCTTAAGATTGCAGGATCCTTATCAAGATTTAAAAGGCAGAAGCAAAATGCCTTCTGCACCTTCCACTTTTTTTTTTTTTTTTGCACATTCATCTGCTTTTATGGTAAAATCTAACCAAATTAAGCAGGTTTTTCTGGTATGATGAACGATTTTGGTACTGTTTTGAGAACCATTTATTTAAAGCATGTTCACTTATACAGGTGTTTTTTTTAATCCAGCGGCAGCCCATTTTTGCAATTCTTCTAACGTTTATTATCTTTGCTGCTGTCTCTGGTTATTTGCTGCTTTTCCTTGATATCTGACAGGAGCGCCTGAGGCGTTTGCTCTCGTCTGGTCTTCACCTCACTATCTAGACTATTACGCTGAAGTTTTTAAAAAGGCTGTCATTGCTGCTTTTATTCCTGTAGCCTATCTCTGGGTGTGTTATATATTTTGGCCTAATGCTGAATGACACGGGCTGGCAAACAGAAGCGTTTGATGAGGAGTGTTCTAGTGCCATGCGAGTCTCTGTTACATAAGGTCCATTTGGGGTTTCAGGTTTGCTGTGTGTGTGTGTGTGTGTGTGTTTGGTCCTCTCTGGTAAATCTTCGTCGTGCTGTTCAGTCATCTCCTGAGTGATATAATGACCGTGCAATTTTACATCCGCTCCGGTCTCACTCGCAAGGTCGAGCTGAATCTATCCTCTGTTCGGTTTCATTTAGAACAGACAAAGGTTCACAGCAACTCTGGTCTGTAGTAGCAATGCTTTTTAAACCTGACTGGATAAAAACAAGCTTTCTTGCAGTTGCTCTGAATAGTGTTCATCCCTGTTTGGACGGGATTAGTTTTATGAGGTGGTGGGGTAATGTAATAATTGCTATATTGCTATAATTATACTATACATAGTTAATTTAATTGCATATTGCATTTAATAGTAAATTGCATACTTTGTTTCATGGTTACTTATTTTGATCAGTTCATCTGCACTTCATCAGACACATCTTATTGGTCAAATTATTGAGCTCGATTGTAAAAATGAATTTGGAGCAGGAACAGGAAAATTCAGTAAATGCCATACATCTGCCTCAGTCCACAATTAGTCTCGAATGCACAGTGGAAAATGAAAATATGCACTTCATAACTTCTCAGAGGGGCAGTACTTGCTGTTGCATATTTACGTTTGATTAATTTTAGTATATATTGCTAAATAAAAGATTTCAAGTGAATGGATATTATTCTTTAGTGCATGACATTTGTTACTCACATTGAAGAGAGATTATGAATTATGGTCCGTTCCGGCTAGTTTATGCAATTTATGTAATGTGTCTCCCAATAATCTTATATTTTGTCATGTTTAATATTTCCTGCATAATTATGTATTGCACAGCCAGCGATAGACACAGCCATTCACCTTTAGCCATTTAGATGCTGATATTCAAAGAGGAACATCACAAGCCGTTTCAGAGTAAGCTAAAGTAAGCTAGAGCAGACATAAAAATGTAGAAAAGTAGAAGAAAATATCACAGGAACAATTTTGTTTTGATGAAACATTAATTAGAATTTATTAATAGAATGTATAACCCGCAGAAGTAGTTTCTTGAAGGTTATAATGGTCTGAGCAGATTCGGCGGAGGTTAAAAGCTCGTTCTACGGCAGAGGAACAGAAAGAGTGAAGGGTCTGGAAAGCGACAGAGTCTAAAAACAATGTTGTGATGGTTTATAAGGCAGTGCTTGACCATAGAGCACGAGAAAACACATAGACTACTAGGACAGGGATGAGGTAAGAGCAACATAGGCTCATTGGAAATACATGCATCTAAATATATTTCTGCAAAACTGAATCGCTGCACTTTCCAGTTGAAATAAACAATAGAGGCGGTAAAACTTTTATTCCTTTTCACACAAAGTATGATTTGCAGGTCCACAGTTTCGATTACTAAACCCTAATTTTCGCACAATTACTTGAGGAATATTATGTTATGAATCCAAAACAATTTTCAACGTGCTGTGGCATTTGAAAACAGATACTTTTGAAAGTTAGCATCACGTATCCAGCTTCATATGAATGGGTTTTTATATTCAGTAGGTTTGTTCGGAGTTCGACTTGAGAAGTGAAGAGCTCGGGTACGAATCCCGTGAAACTACGGTTGCACAAAACAGTTCAAACCTGCATATAAGGAAGTTCAAAAGGCACGTTTGAGCCAACAAATCCGTTTTTATACCAGTTTAGCATTTGTTAACACTATTGGGTAGGTTTAGGGTTGGGATTGGTGTTGGGGATATTTCCAACCATAGATCATTAACTTTTACAGACATTCCTTGGATATTTGAATTATGAACCACCACAATACATAACTAAAGCAACGTAATAAAAACACAGCAATATGTGGCTATATCAACATAACAAAAACGTTCCAGGGTAACGTATTGAACCCACGTTTTAGTGCCACTCACTGGACGTTTCACTTTGAAACTGCCTCGAAATATGCAGTAAGGTACGTAATAGCGGTGTTGCAGAAATGTATTTAGAGGCACATATTTCCAGTGAGTCTGGGTTGGGTAAGAGGGTCCTGACGTCAAAGCCTTGAATTTGATGTGCTCGGCCACAGGTCACATGTTTAATACATCGGCCACATTTCTGTGAATTGACTATAAACTACAGACGTCTGCAGTAACATGATTTACAGACTTGTGTCCTGAAAACTAAACCCATCTGCACATGGCTTTTAACTGATGTGTGTTTTGCTAAGATAGGAATATGTCAGTTTAGAATATCTTTAGGTTTAAGGTTTAAGTTGCTTTGATGGCAAACGCATCAAAGGATTATTAAAAAAAAAATAAAATAAAATAAAAGTTGTGGACCAAAAGCTGCTGAGTGGCCAAGCAATCTGCCCTCTGCAGTTTCTCTCACATACACATACTGAGACACTCACAGGTACACACACACACACACACACACTCTCTCTCTCTCTCTCTCTCACACACACACACACACACACACACACACACACACATTCTCTCTCTCTCTCACACACACTCGCACGCACACAGCACCTCTCATATCTCACTCCCTCTTCAGCCAAATGAAATGTCTCGCTGGGAATAATTGGATTTGATAAGACCTGATTCACTTCAGACTTCTGCACTCAAATTGTGGTGTTACTGAGAGCATCTGCCAAGGAACGAAGTGCTGTGTGTGTGTGTGTGTGTTGAGCGATGGTGGGTGTTGCAGTGGGAGTTATTAAGTAAAGGCAACATGATGCACTGCCCACTGTTTTATTTGGAAACAAATACATATATAAGCGTCTATTTATCAGCTTATAGAATAGTGTGAGCTGATCGTTCTGTTGATTTGTTTACAACACAATCTTTCCATTTGGTTATTTACTGAATTGATCTTTCCACAAATTTGTTTACAGAATACCGTGAAGTGATCTTTCATTTGTCTGTTTATAAAATACGGTGCACGGATCTTTCTGTTGGTTTGTGGAACAGAGTGTTCTGGTGTTTTTGTCTGCTGGTTCTGTTATTGATTTTTTTTGCTGTCTTTTAGATGAGAGTAACACCAAAGCATGAGCGCTTCAGGTCACTAAACCTTTTGAAATCACTCGGATTCAGATGACGTCAGATTCAGCTAATTCTCTTCTCAAGTTGATTAGATATTGGAAAATGTTAGGACTATTATAGTAAAAAAATATATATACTTAAAATAAAATGATTAAACATTATCTGAAATAATCACAAAT